AGTCCGTTCACATTATAATTTCAATCTGTCACCGTCACCGCACGATAATTGTTCGCCTCCTGTTGACAGATCGTTCATGTCCGCTAATACTATCGTCATCCGAGGAAAATTAGGCCAAACCCTCTCAAATCCACTCACTAAAACCTCCTTCTCTTTTTATCCTCCCGCTATTCTCTCTGTAACTCCTCCCTTCCATTCTGCTATGATACTTCACACACACATTCTCACACATCGATAAACGCGTACATTTAATCCAGAAAACCAAAAATTGTATTATTGTATTTACCTGAAAAAATTATATTTATATTTTATTCAAAAATGTATAACTCCAGTTTTTTTTTCTTAATTATATCATTGTAAAATTAACTTCTCGATAGTCATTATTTAAACAATACCTCTCCTCGTATTATTAAGCTCTCCCGCGATTGCACTTCGCCCTCTCCCCCGGTCACTTGGATTAAGTTCTATGACCGAAAGTCAGGGCATACGGCCGTACTGGCGCAGCTGGCGTTAAAGTGCGCCCTTCTCGGCACACTGACCCAGTTTGGGCCGTTTTTCGAAGTACGTACGACTCGTGTGTCCGTTTAGCGGAGCACGAGCAGAGGTTTCCGCTTCGTCCTCCGTTCGACCCCCGGCTCGTTAGGAGCTTCAGGACGAAGCGAAGCGCCTCCCGATTTGCGTCGGTCCTTCCCTACGGCTCCCTTGCGGTCTGGAGCCCGGACACGACCAAATCGGTCTAACAATTCGGTTCCTCGTTACGTTCACCCCCTCAGCTCCGCATGCGCGCGGAGCTTGGACGTAACAATAGTGTATTCATGAATAATAATAAATTTTGTCTTTTATTACGTCTGCAGCCGATTTATCATATGAATATCAATATATCGTTCGAAGAAATAGCATTCGAGAAAGTCACTATAATAACATACAGTACCTAAGAGGTTAAAAAAGAAATAATTCATTACTATAATTTAGGAAAATAATTCATAACCTTAATTTAGGAAAAAATTTAGTACGGGTTGTAAAGTGGGACAAAGTGTTAAAATTTGAGATTGTCCCTTCTAATTTGGTTAGTCACTCAGATGTACAGGAGCCCCAGAAGCACCCGTATTCCGTATTGCTTCGTATGTTCCATCATTGGATCAAGCTGCCACGTCATTTTACGTATGCGCACAATGTTTACTAGAGCAGACGAATTCTTGTCACCTCCCATCACTGTATTGAACACAGATGAGATGACATGTAGCAGAAAGATGCGAGTTGCCGAAAGATTTTCGTGGTAAAAAAGCAATTGGACGCCTCCGATTTGCAATGCTGAACGCACCTATAGTAGCTCAACTCTCTGTCGACATCTTTGATGTTAGTGTTGGCCAAAATGGAGTGCGCATATGTGAAATAAATAAGTTACCTAGCGTTGCCACGATGACCATCTGAACTTCTTTCTCTTTTCATTCTTTTTTCACTCTGTCAAAATTTATTCGCATCACAATCCAACGAATTTGTTGAAGTGAGTAATTACTATTGTAGGAACATATGTCCAAAAAATAAATTTAAAATACAATAGATAAAAAGAAATCTTTCTTGCGGGAAGGCTCCGATTGCACACAGTGCATGTTGCACACATACGTCGTTAATTGGCCAATTTAAAAATAAAATATTCTCATTGGTAAAGTAATAACAAATTACTAAGCATGAGCTGATATGAGTGGTGTGTGCAATCGGAATTGTAGGCAAACGGAATTCTTCCTTTCTTGCTCGATTTTCTATAATACTTTTGTTCACTTTTTCACTTTATCACTTTTTCAGAAAAATTAAATCAATTTTTCGAAATTTCTTTAAACATTTCACCAAATGG